TAAGTATTTATAAATTGCAAAGTATCTATAATATATACACACATATATTTGATCATGTTATTTGGCTTAATGTGTAGCTAACAAAGGAGAATAGTTCTGAAACATCTCTTCCGGAACACATTTTATGGAAGGAAGCCCATGTGTGTAAGGATGGAGTTGTTGAAGAAAAAGTTCAACAAATTTTTGAGAGATGTGTAAGTATAACATTATCTATTTAATTACATCATACTTTTATTTATTTAATTACATCATTCTTTTATTAACATATCATTCTTTAATTACAATATTTATATGAATTTCAGGAGACTCTTTCTCAGTCTATACCTCCAGATGAAGATAATGATTGCAGGAGAATACTCTCACGAGCATTAGATATTTGTGAGTATTTTGGTCGGGTGAGGGGTAAGGGATTTGGGATCACTCCAACATCCTTGAAAAAAAATCAAAGACAAAAGCTCCAAGCAATAAATAACTTCAGGAAAAGTTGGAAAAGTTACAACAAGAAGTGTATGATCTGAGAAAGGAAAAGGAAATCGATCAAGCTACATGTTTTAAAGATACTAGTGACAAAGGTAGTATCAATGGTAACTTTGGACAAAATATTCTTGAGGTAATTATATACCATATTTATAAATTATATAACCATATTTATTAATTATATAACCATATTTATTAAATTATAGGGCATTTCCCGGTGTCAACTCTATTTGTCGGCACTGACTTATTGGATGGTTGGCAAGGGAAAAGTGTATAATACTTTGGGAGAAATGCTTCACCATAAACCGCTGCCAGATGGATTTTTTAAAGTATCGGTTGATGTCGTTTTAGAGGGGGGTGCGTTGTTACTATTATCTGACGATGTGGCGGATGCAACATTGGTGGCAGATGCAATAGGATCGTTTGTTGCATGGTCGTCAAGCCTCATTTGCATAGATAATGAGGTATGCTTAAAATCGTTTACTATTCAAATTTTTTTAAAGGCAATTATACTTACATTTTGTTTACATGGTAATGTTAGACTCCAACAAAATCCATTCCAAAAGATAAGGGAATTAGGCGGGAGACCGAGTCAATTGCATCAATTGAGGTACAACACAATTATATGACTTTTATGCTATGAGAAATGCTAATTTGTGATTTTATACTTCCCCTAACTAATTATATGATAACTAGATTCATGCTAAAGAGACTGCACAAGTCAGTATGGGTAAGGCGCCTGAAATTAGCAATATTTCCACACACAAAAAATGTTGCTAAGAAGACTGTGGCTAGCAAAAAAACTATTGCTCAGTTCAGGTCGTGCCTTCAGACATATTTAGGAATTACTGATATTCCGGATGGTGGTACCCGCCTTATACCTATGAGTGCATACATATTTGGTTTTGAATACCTTGAAGCAATTGGTAGAGAGGATATGGAGCAAGTTTTTAGACATTTGGAATTAGGCCTCGGTGTTATCGGTATATACATCAGGTATACTCTAATCAACTTTGTTTAATTAGATGAACGATTTAATCCCTCATTCCAATGAATATAGTATAATGTTAATGATGTTTTAATTTAAGGTTTATGTATGACAACATTGTGCCCCCGCGTGGATTAGAAGCAAGATTTGGCTTCTTAGCTCCCAACACTGTCAATTCAGGGTTAATTGTAACAAGACTAGATGATGTCAAAACATATGTACTCGGTTTATTCGTGGCCAGCAAAGATACTGAGAAGTTGTTCTTTTTGCCATATAATACTGGCAACGGGTTAGATTTTCATCCTAACTTGATCTATTATAATTTTCCATTTTTGGAAATTGTTTAATCTGGATTCATGCTAAAGAGACTGCACAAGTCAGTATGGGTAAGGCGCCTGAAATTAGCAATATTTCCACACAAAAAAAAAAGAATGTTGCTAAGAAGACCGTGGCTAGCAAAAAAACTATTGCTCAGTTCAGGTCGTGCCTTCAGACATATTTAGGAATTACAGATATTTCAGATGGTGGTACCCGCCTTATACCTATGAGTGCATACATCTTTGGTTTTGTTGCGATTAATCCTATGAGAGAAAATGTGTATTATATGGATTCGTTATACAATGATTGGTCAACATATCCAGATTTGAAACAGATGATTGACACGTAAGTTTTTCGCTTCCAAAGAGATATTCAAGTTTATGTTTATGTTTATGTTTATGTTTATGGTCAACATATCTGGATTTGTGTTTATGTTTATGTTTCAATGTGAGATTGTTCTAAATAGTCGTTTATATTTTATTATAGAGTTCTACTAGATTTTCGCTCCCAAAGAGATATTCAAGTGCCAAAAAGTAGAGCCAACAACGTTACATGGATCAGAGTGGAGGTATATTTTCACAAAGAGATCTTCAATTTTGATTACATTAGTGATGAAACTTGATAAAACAATTTAAGGGGTATATCCTGATATATATTCGTATTTTCTTTCCATGTGTAGTGTCCTCACCAGCGTAACGGTATAGATTGCGGCTATTTTATGTTGAGGTTTATGAAAGAAACCATTCTTTTGGATCGATTAGAGATTTCATCCACGGTATGGATTTCTAACTTAGGAATTACATACTATTTTCATATTTTGTGTTTCTCATAAAATGACATATTGTTTTAACTAAATCGCATACTATGTTATATTATTATATATGTAGTACTTTGAGGAATTCAATTGTGCACATTACTCAAAAGATCAATTGGATGAACTTATGGAGGAATGGTGTCAATTCATTATCGGGTTGAGAATTTTATAAGCTAAGGTATATTGTCTTATTTTCTTTTATGAGAACTTTCGAGTTTTGAGTATAAATTAAATTCGAATAAAGTGCAACGTTAATATTATCATGTTATGAATTTCGATCATTTGGTTTTTTTTTCCAGGTTTATAGATGCATGTGTAGAAGATAGAGCTAAGATATTCATATTGTTGTTGTTTCATGAGAATTCTCGAAGATAGAAAGATGTACAGATGTAACATCAATTTTGAAATTTAGGATTTTTAACTTGTAAAATTTTAACTTGTATCATAAATTTTGTAGTTGGTGTTGTATATATCATCAATTTATATATATGTGTAATTTTTATATATGCATATTTTATTGGAATGAAGCTACCAAATATGGTGAAAACCTGGTTCAAATATGGTTAAAATTCTGATTAAATGCATTATATATATTGGACAGCGCTTTTGTAAGTCAAAATAGATATTTTATTTTAAAAAAATCGTGAACAATAGACAACGCTTTAGGAGAAAAGCGCTATAACAACTTAAAAATAAGTGCTGCCTAAAGTGTAAAAACGTTGTCTAAAGTGGGGGAATAGACAACGCTTTTAAAGGAAAACGCTGTCTAAAGCCTAACTTAAAAAATAACAAAGCGCTGTCTAAAGTAAAAGCGCTGCTAAAGGGGTATATAAAAAAGTGCTGTCTATTCTAAAAGCACTGTCTAAAGTGGGCATAAGAAAGCGCTTTTACATTGAAAAAAAGCGTTGTCTTTTCTTTTAGCAGAGCTGCTTTAGGCAGCGCTTTAAAGCGTTGTTAAAAGCCTAAAAAAGCGCTGTCTTTTCCCTTTTTTGTAGTAGTGATTGTGTTATCTTCAGACGCTCGTTGTGTCATTTACCTTCGTTCGCCGTGTTGGTTTCTAAACACTCGTCGTGTTATCTTCATACGCTCGTTGTGTCATTTACCTTCGCTCATCGTGTTAGTTTCTAAACACTCGTCATGTTATCTTCAGACGCTCGTCGTGTCATTTACCTTCGCTTGTCGTGTTAGTTTCTAAACACTCATCGTGTTATCTTCAGACGCTCGTCGTGTCATTTATCTTCGCTCATCGTGTTGGTTTCTAAACACTTGTCGTGTTATCTTCAGATGCTCGTCATGTCATTTACCTTCGCTTGTCGTGTTGGTTTCTAAACACTCGTCGTGTTATCTTCAGACGCTCGTTGTATCATTTAGCTTCGCTCGTCGTGTTGGTTTCTAAACACTCATCGTGTTATCTTCAGATGCTCGTCGTGTCATTTACCTTCACTCATCGTGTTGGTTTCTAAACACTCGTCATGTTATCTTCAGACGCTCGTCGTGTCATTTACCTGCGCTCGTCGTGTCAAATTCTAAGCACTCGTTGTGTCAACTTCTAAACACTCGTCGTGTCAATTTTCAACACTCTTTGTGTTAGTTTCTAAGCACTTGTCATGTCAGAAAGGCGATCAAGACAAATCAATTTCTCCACTTAAGGGATGAAATTGATGTTGTTAGTTTTTATTAGGAAATCCTAAATTAAGAGATGATATTGAAGGATAATTTATTATTTTAGTATGTTGCTTATGTGATCCTAATTTGTGTATATAAATAGATTAGTAAAAGTTGTCTTTTATAATTTAATCTTTTTTATCCTTTTGTAACCGTAATTTTGCAAACTAATAAAATATATTCTCTCATTCTTTTTGTCTTTATCATCTTATACCGTCTTTATCATCTTATACACTAACTATACAGTTTGTTTCTCACTAACCTTGTTTAAAGCTCATTCTTGTTTCCTTTGTTACGTTGCAATCATAGTACACCATATCATCATCTTTTCAAAAGCACATTTTTCAAACTTACACCATGATCCATAGCCATACATAAACAAAATTTCAAACCTTAACCTTTAAATAAAAAATAACAACCTGCGTATTCATGAACAATACTACCTTACACACTATATAATATCAGATTCCAGAAAATTTGTTATTCTAATTTTTTTGAACCACCAACTTCTAGATCCTTTGCCTGCTGTTGTTGCTTTTGTTGCAGTTACAGTGAATCAATCAATTAAAAAAAAACAGAGTCGAAAAGAAGAAGCACCGAGAATCCGACATCCGCGAATCTGTTTCCAATGACTCACCTTAGGGGTAAATCTGATCCACATATGATAGCAAGCTTCTCGACGCTGCATCCATCACCGTATCGAATCCGACTTTCGATCCACGTCCTCAGATCACCACCATGCCAGCCATTCTCTCCGACGCAATTCCAGCCACCGGACTCGCACTCCACGCACACCCAGGCCCGCGCATAACAACACCACTGACGCACCAGAGCCGCCGCGAAGACCGCCAGACAGCTCCAGATCGCATCACTCCGACGATGTCAACAACCTCTCCGCCACCAGCACTTGCTTTCCGACATCGGTAAATCTGTTGCTTTTATCCTTTTTTCGATTTTACTTGCTAGTATTCATGGATCTTGGGTTGTGTTGTTTGAAAGGAAAAGAAGAATTTTTAATACTGTGAGAGAGGAAGAGGAAATTATGTGTTAAAAAAAGAAACAAATAGAAAACATTAATTCTCTTTCAATGTGTGTATTAAACTTTGTTTTGTTTTTTATAATAACAAATGCCACGTGTCTCCACACCTATGGTGGATGGCTTTAATTGGAAAAATATAGAAAAGAAATTAGGCTCACGTAGTGAAAGAAGAGAGAGTACTAGTTGTGGAACTTTTATGTTATTCTCAGCACTATTCATAGAGCCGTGCGGAGGTACGGGTGGATGAAATATTTTATTATAATAGAATGTTCCGTTTATTGGAAGGACGGATGGTGTTTAATTTATACAGTTTTTGTTTGTTAAGTTGATGAAGCTGTATATATATAGTTTTTTTTTAATATGATGTTAGAACTCTTCTGTTCATTCAATGGACGGATCCTCTACAAATTTTAATGTTTCTGTTCAATAGTTTTGTGGATGGTAAAAATTTACAACAGCTCTGTCCATTCATTTAGCGGATGTTTTGTGACAAAAATAAAATTTGTTTAAAAAGATCGTTGATTGAGATTATTAAATAAAGATCATGGTATATTGAAATTTACTATACAAAAAGATGACAAGACAGTAAAAAATTTACGGATGAATTTTATTTGATATGATATAAAATATATTTAGAAAGACGTAAGTTTGAAATCAGATATTTAATTATAAAATAAATAATTATTATAAAATATAATTTTATTAAACAATTATATAAAATAAAAAGAAAAAAGAGAATTGATGAGATGGTGAAAGAAAAAAAATTTAAAATTTTAAAAATAAAGATTTTAGTTTAATTGATTTAATATTATAATATTGATAAGAAATAAAACATTAAATGACAGTTTGATTAAATAATTTAAATATTATATAAAAAGTAAAATGAGAAAAAAGTATATGTTAGATAGAAGTTTATGTAAATAAAAATAATTGTTTGTTGAGATAGTACTATGTTATTACAAATTATAATGAAACAAATATATTAAAAGAAGGTAAAAATAATCATTACGATTGTTAAGAGTTGTAAATATAAATATAAATTTAATTAGAAATAAAAAAATATCTAAATAGTGTTATTAAAAAATATATAAAATAATAAATATTATTTAATGGTTCTTTAAAATATGATATAATTTGTAATTGAAATTAAAAAAAGAAAAAGTTATAATTAAGAAAAGGGGAGAATTTATAAATAATGAAAAAAAAAGAAAGAAAAATACAGTAGAAAAAAAGAATTTATCTCTGTCTAAAACAGTAAGAATTTATCTTTATGATTATTTAATAATCATATAAAAATAAAAATAAAAAAAAACCGTTAAATAGAGAAAAAATAATATTTAAAAATAAATATTTTATTTCTTAAAATAAAATTATTAATTAAAATAAAATAAAATATTCTGATAATGATCTCTAAGATAAAAAGTTAATAATTTATACAAATTTAAAATATAAATACCAATAAAAAATTTAATATTTAAAATATAACGTAATTCATTCTAACAATTATTTTATATTAATCATATTAAAAGTTTTTTCTCCATTAAAATATATTAAACTGAATTAGTAACAAACATTCTACAAATGATAATATTAAAAATTTATAAAAAATAGCACCATCCATAAAAAAAATATTAATATTTAAAAAGGAAAAAAAGGCATCACAAACTTTACCAGATATTAGTGGCAATGAATAGAGAAATTCCAGATCCCAAACCATAACCTTTTTGAAAGAGCTCATCTAAACATATGACAATGATACCGGCAAAAAAGAGCTGATGGATGATGAGAATGGCATTTCCCACTCCAAGTTGGCCCACACTACCATACATCCCTGAAAGAACATAGGCAACGGCCTCTCTAACAGCTATCAAGATGCCAAGTAGTTTCTGTGCACTATTTCTGGGAGCAAAGCGGAATTTATCTCATTATTCGATCTACTTGTGCAATAGAATATGGCAGCACAAAGCTAGGAAATATGCAGATTCGGTGAGGAATTGACACCCACACCCATAACACAAAGCTATATTAATTTCACATTCCATGAAAAGAAGAAAGTATAACAAATTCAGAGCTACCAATGGAGCTATATTAATAATGAACAGGGAGATCACAGTATATATGACCTTCTCTTCAAATGGCACTTTCCTATCAACAGTCTGAACTTCAGGAAGGAACGATAGAAACAGTCTGATTAAATGAAGCACTCTAAACCCACCTCCCATCTTACCAGATAATCGATAACAATTTAACAATTCATCAAGAAGTCCGACTCCGATAATTCATAGATTCATTACGTTATCTTAGTTAACATAATTCAAGAATTTTAATGAATTTCAAAAATACTATTTGCAGAAATTTAACACATAACTATAAGCTTCCAGGTATTCAGTTTAATCATACACTGGAAATGCATGTTGATTCAATTTCAATTATTTAAACAAACAGAAGATGAATATATTTAGTTGTGTTTTGAAGAGAAAAAGTAAGAGAAGACAAATCTTCTGGCTTAGTTCCCGTGACTGTAGAATCAGGCCAAACAAACAATTACATAGTTAAAAACACAAGGACTGTTAAAACAAAAAGCTTAGAAAAAATGCACCGAAGGGATGTACTTTATTCAATAAACTGAGGCTATTATATAGCCAATTACATGAAATTGAAATAAACCTAAGACCCATGTTTTACAACTTGCAACGTGGGTAGAGAAGTTGAAAACAAACTCTATCATAAAAAATAGCAGCTGATAAATACTAAGTCAGAACTAATAAAAGACTAATTCAAAATATAACAGACTCCTAATATTTATCTAACAATCCCTCCCTTAAGCTAATGCTCCTGCACTTAGCTTACTTTTGAAACTTCAGTCATTCCAAGCAGGCTACGAAGCTTCACAAACTGCTCCAGCTTTAATGGCTTCGTCATGATGTCTGCAATTTGATGTTGTGAATTGCAGTAGTTCAGCTCCACTACTCCATCATTCACTAAGTCTCTTAGAAAGTGGAATTTTACATCAATATGCTTGCTCTTGCCATGAAATACTGGATTTTTGGACAATTGTATAGTAGAACTATTGTCACACATGATTTCTGTCCCTGTATTCTCTTCAATGCCAAGCTTTCCCAACACCCTTCTGAGCAATACACACTGACAGGCACACAAAGCTGCTGCTATATACTCTGCTTCTGTGGTAGAAAGGGCAACCACTGATTGTTTCTTTGATGACCAAGAAACAGCTCCAGATCCTAACATAAATACAAACCCTGATGTACTTCTTCGATCATCAAAGTCTCCAGCATAATCACTATCCATAAAAGCCACGAGTCTCAGGCTGCCTTCACCTTTCTTGAAAAAAATCCCAAACTCGGTTGCACCTTTCAAGTATCTTAATATTCTTTTTGCTGCAAGCCAATGTGACATGGTAGGCCTGGTCATGAACCTGCTAATTAGACTAACAGCATACATCAAATCAGGCCTAGTTACAGTTAAATACATGAGGCTTCCTACAACTTGCTTGAATAAAGTTTCATCAACTCTGGCCCCTCCTTCATCCTTGTGCAGCTTTGTGCCTGGAACTATGGGATTTTTTACTGCATTGATGTCTTCCATACCGAACCTTGCTAGCACTTCTCTTGCATATCTCCTCTGACAGATAAAAATCCCACCTGAACTTTGTTTAACTTCTATTCCGAGAAAGTGCTTCATTTTCCCCAAATCAGACATATCCAACTCCATCATCATGGAGCTTTTAAATTCAGCACACATTGTATTATCATCTCCAGTAAAAATTAAGTCATCAACATAAAGACTTACTATCAACCTTTTACCTTCATTTGATCTTGTGAACAATGTGTGTTCATATGGGCATCTCTCAAAACCTTCTTGTAAAAAATAGGCTTCGATTCTGCTATACCAAGCTCGTGGCGCCTGTTTGAGACCATATAATGCTTTTCTCAGCTTATAGACTTTTCCTTCTTGTCCTTTCTTTATGAATCCATCAGGTTGCTCCACAAATATTTCCTCCTTGAGTTCACCATGAAGAAAGGCACTCTTCACATCAAGCTGGAAAACCTCCCAACTGAATTGAGCTGCCATTGCAAGTATTATACGGATAGTGTCTAGCCTTGCCACTGGAGCGAATACTTCAGTATAATCTATCCCATAACGTTGTGCATACCCTTTTGCCACTAATCTTGCTTTGAACTTCTCAATACTCCCTTCTTCATTAAACTTAGTTTTGAACACCCACTTGACTCCAATGGGTTTAACTCCTTTAGGAAGTGTAGTAAGTTCCCAAGTTTGATTCTTCTCTATGGCCTCAATTTCAGCTAGCATTGCTTCCCTCCATTTTCTTCTTTTCACTGCTTCTTCAAAAGAAATTGGATCATTTTCAATTTCCATCATCATTGCACTCAGATTTTCTTCCTCTGACAGTCCTTCTCCTGTTTCATAATCACACATCCAGGATGGAGCTCTTCTTTCTCGCAAACCCCTCCCTACAACCAATTCTTCATACGCCGCTGAGTTTGGCGTATTTATAGGAGATTGCAATCTGATTCCTTCTATTCTGCTTCGGAGAGCTGAGTCTGCTGGACTATTGTCTGCATTGTTGGACCCTACCGGTGTGCTGATGGGCCCTATTGGAGTGTTGCCCGGCACTGCAGATGTGCTGCTGAATTCTCCTGGTGCATCTTCTTCTTCATTCTGACCATTTTCATCTTCCCATACCAATGCATTTTTCCTATGTTTTTCTTCTGATTCATTCCAGTCCCAACCTTCTTCCTCTTCAAAAACAACATCTTTGCTAACTATGATCCTTTTTGAGACTGGATCAAATAGCCTCCATGCCTTAGACTCGTCACTGACTCCTAAAAAAACACACTTTCTGCTC